TTCCATAATAAAAAAAATAAAGGTACAAGGAATTTTACTAGTAACAGATACAGATAATCCTTCCACAATATCAAATGGTCACTCACAAGAGACCAAAGACATCAACAAGAAGAAATCATCAAAGAGTTAAAAAAATATCGCTAGAATAAAACAACCTCTATTCACAAATTTTCTAGAAATTTTAGAGTGATTATATCGCAAATTGCACCATCCACTTAAAAGAATTATGAATTGGGAACAAACCGTAAAATTTTAAGCTCAATCAAACATCATTTGACCATCCAATATTCGTTTCATGAAAAATGTCCTGTGCTATGATATTGTGCCCCCTATTTCTTTCTCTTCCTTCAATTTTGCCAACATTCACTCTTAAATGTTTTAATTTTAATCTCTGTAAGAATATATCAAATCAAAATGTTATAATGTTGATGCATGGAAGGAATGTGTTTTTCAAAAGTAATTTTAGGTTTAAAATTAAGCTTACAAATGCATGAATTGTGTATATTAAATTGATAAAAAAAATTGCATAAATAAAAGCACTCAAACTTAAGTTGTTAAGAATAGACTATTAGACTAATGGCAAAGAGACTTTGAAAATTTTACATGAAATTATGAATTCGTACCTTAATGTCATTATTGTGCTAAAAGGAAAAAAGCACTCACATTTATTTAAGTGAAATGTGAATAGTATCTTGACCAAAAAGAAGTGGTGAGAAATATAATTCTTGCTAATTTTTTTGTTACATATATTTTTTGTTGTTTTAATTATATTATTATCTCTGTATGTATTCTCTGGTCAATTAGGCTTGGGTTTGGATTTGGGTTTCCCTTGTTCCCGTAATAATTTTATTAGAGTCAATGGTGGTTAACTGGGTGTTTAGCTAGGTTGAGTATATTGATATGATGGTTGGTGTTTGGGTTTGTGTCTTTCTCGACTCATGTTGTGAAACTAAAACTTGATTATTCTTGGTTGGTAATCTCATAAATATTCAAAGAATTAGTTTCCATTTGAAGGGAAACAAATGTTGAGACTGAAACTTATACCGGAGGGAAAGAATGTTGGGAGTTTAAGTATGAGTGATGAACTTTATTGATTGATGATGGACTAAGTGAGGATCATATAAGTGAAATGACTCATAAACATAATAGGTTAAGGGTTTGAGATAAAATGTGACGTGGAATCTATTTTGTTGGGGTGGATTATCATTTAGCCCATTGATAATAGCTTCCCAACCATGGGCTTCCATTGGCCACATAAGAGACTTTCCGTTATAGGAGAAAAAAGTGTTGCCTGATCATTTTTGTTATTGTCACGACCTAATTCCGTGTCAATTCAATCCTAAGTTGTGGCTAGAACACATGTTAAATTAACTGAAACACCAATTAGTAAGGCAGCCAATCTAATATATTTATACATTTTGCAAATAAAATCTCAAATCAAATTCTATAAACTTATCAATAAGATACCTGTAGAAATAATGGGGCGACTCTTAAGAATTTACAACTTTTATGATTCCATACGAATAATAATCAATTGATAATTAAACTTTGCCTACATGAACTATGTTTCAAGTTCACCAATGGTAAGTTACCCTCTTCACCAAATTGGAATGGTGAAATTAAATGTTATTTGTCTGCCTCTATATTAAAAATATGTTATAACCACAATTTGTGTGTTTACAACTCAGTAATAATTATGGTGAATATAACGAGTGGACTTGGTATCATAGCATAAAAACTATGTTTAAATCAAACGGAAAAGCTGAAAGAATCTAAATTCCTCAGTTGAATCGATATTATAGTTTTATATTGCTAAAGCAGAAAATAATACTATATTAAAACAAGGGTTCATTTAATCTTATGTTACATGAGAGATCTTCTCTCATGTTGTAGAGATACATATGGTGGGATCCGTCATTTAAAGAAAATAGAAAAAGAAAAAAAAAAGTGTCACGATTTTCGATGAGTGTGTAGAAGATAAAACTACTCTTATGTTGCATAAGAGTAGTTTTTTTCCTTAAAACAATATGTATAATGAAGTGGGGGTAACTCAAACAAGACTATGAAATGGGCTCCTTGCGTGAAGGGTTTTCTCACATATGTCAACATGAGGCTCTCCGACCTGGAATATTTTAACAATAGGCTTTCTGCATTTAATAAGTCATAGTACACTAAGATGAACATCTGTTGTTATTAATTACAATATTTTGACGAAGTCCTTTCCCCAAAACAATTCTTAAACATACTTCACTTATAACTAGTAGAGAGTTTAAGCTTGAGATTTCAATTTCACTAGCATGATCTCCTTATATTTCCCTTTTTAAAGTTAATTTAGGAATCTACAAATTACCTTCTAGGTTTAAGATTGTAACTTTATTGACTTGATCATTATCCCAACTTCTAAGGTATTTAAAAGCATATTTTTATGTAGTTACATCTATTTATTCACGTGTTCATTGCATGTCTCAAATCAATACTCACTAAATAAACACATGAAGGTTTGTTTGGTGGTCAAGATAGAAAGGATAGGATAAGATAGATTATTATGTCGTACTTTATCTATTGTTTGTTGAATTAACAGGAGATAATAAACTTACCATGTTGACTTATTTTATACTGTTTATAACAGGATAAACTATTCTAAGGGGGACTCGGGTTAGGAATGGGCAAAATATGATAGAAAATGTCACATCTCTATCATTCTAAATATGCACCTATGCTCATTTTCTACGAACTTTGTTAAGTATCTGAGGGTCAGCCCCACCCCTAGCAGCAATCGGCCACCTCTACCACCCACTGTCGCCATTGTCCATCACCATGAACTACTAGCCACCACCATTATCACTAGTTGCCTCCAACACCATCATTGATCAACCCCCATAATTATCGTCAGTCATCGTCGATGCCGCCATCATCACCAATTCAATCGACCACCAGACGTCAACCATCACTGCCACCTTTAACCACCAGACACCAACCATCATTGTCATTGCTGCCGCCATTAGTCAGCCACCATAATTATCACTATCAATGTCGTCACCAACAACCATTGCCCCCCCAGCCCTCACAATCGTCGCCACTACCTACTGCACCAGCTACCATCACCACCAATAGCCATTATCATTAGCCACTAGCCATCAATATTGATATTCAATTTAAAACATTTAAAAAAAAAAAATTGGTTAGGATATAATTTTTTTAATTTTAAGCTTTGATCCTCTCAACAAAACAATTAAAATTTTGAAAAATTACTGTAATATCTTATTGAAGAGGTTATATTTACAATATTTTTTCTCTTACAACCTCTTATAATTACTTTTATGGTTGTTGGATTAAAATCAAATTAACGGTTATAAAATGATATTAAATAAGAGTGGTTGATTTGATTTTGATCCAACAACTATAAAGTGGTTATAAGAAGCTGTAAGGGAAAAAAAATATAAATATAACCTCTCTTGTATTTTATTTACAGAAAGATTTTATTAATTTTGAACACCATAATCCAAATTTTGAAATTTTTAATTCCGTATTGATAAAGGAAGAAACAAATGTTATCAATACTTATATTAGAAAAATTTAATTTTATAAGAAAACACACTCCCTCTTTTTCTCTGGTATAATGATTATTTCCAATTGAGAGAGATAATCAAAATCCCTTTAATCGTGGGTGCATTAATTAATATAATCTTCCCCATTTTTTTAGTAGATATAATCTTTTCAATTTTTTGTTTAGGTGGATATAATCTTTTTAATTATTATTATAGTGAGAGACGTGGGAATAGGTTTTGACTTCACATAGCACACACTCTTAGTCACTGCCATATATATAGAATTAACATGCCCCATTTACAACCGATGCATTGAAATTTATTTATTTTAGTATACATAGGTAAATTTTGGAATTTTAAAAAGGATGTAAGGTTTGTCATTTTAAATGACACACCTTACATCCTCTCACTCTCACAAAAAGATTGGACCTGCATCTTTAAAACTTTTTCTCTTCATTTTTTCTTCCATGATTTATCTATTTCTTTTACTTAAAATGACACAATTTTACGTACTTTTTAAATCATACACACTTTTTCCTTTTAAAAATTTGTACAAAATTCGCCTGCGGTATACTATAATAAATAAACTACCAATGCACTCCACAGGTGAATTCTGTAATTTTAGAAATTTGCACAAAATTCGATTACATATCTTAGAATACAAGGTTTTTCCTAGTGGACCCTCTATGGTATTTTGTCAGTACCCCCTCTTCATTCGGGGCAAGTTAACACACATTGCGGGAGTCGGAACACTCACTAAAGTGTTACTGTTGGATAAAAAAAATACTAAAATGTCACGCTAACAGTTTATTTTGTCAAAATGCCACGTAACATATTTCGCTACACTGTGTAGCGAAATAGATGTGCAAATAATTCGCTACACGATATAGCGAAATATGCCGCATCAGAATGCACAGAACTAAAAATGCCACGTGTCAGACAGGGAGAATTTCGCTACACTGTGTAGCGAAATTCTCCCTGTTTGACACGTGGCATTTTTGGTTCTGACGTGGCATATTTCGCTACACCTTGTAGCGAATATTTGCACACATATTTCACTACACAGTGTAACAAAATATGCCACGTGACATTTTGGCAAAATTTACTGTTGGCGTGGCATTTTGATATTTTTTTTTGCCAGTAGTGGCACTTTGGCCACTGTTCCACACATTGCTGCGTCCATTTCACTTCCAACAAAACCAACCGAAGCTCACACCCTCATATCATGGAGCCACAAATTCTATGTTGTTTGAGTTTATCAATTTGATTCCTTTTGATAATATAGAATATCTATTAATATTAATGCCATGAGCAAATCAATTTTATCACGGCGCCGAATTCATGGCCATTTGATGTACCCAAAAATAAATAAAGTATATGACATCTCATGCTATTGCTATCTATATATAGCCCTCTCTTTGTTGCTCTCAATCCCACAATAACAAGCCACAAATCACACTCACACTAGCTAGTAGAGTTCCCTCTTATACTTCTTTTTTCTTTCATGTGCTTCTTCTCTCTAAAACCTAAAACCCAAAACACACGCACAAAAAATATTAAGATGGCATGCCAAGATTGGCCAGAGCCAGTGGTTCGAGTCCAAGCCTTAGCTGAAAGTGGCTTAAGTTCAATCCCTGAACGTTTCATCAAGCCTATGTCACAAAGATCTCCAAACCAAGGTTCCAACACTGAGAACATCAATATCCCAGTCATTGATCTTCAACACCTTTATGGTGAGGACCAGAGGCTTAGAGAGGAGACACTCAAGCTTGTTTCTGAGGCTTGTAGAGAATGGGGGTTCTTTCAGGTGCTGAACCATGGTGTTAGCCATGATTTGATGAAGCGTGCGAGGGAGGTTTGGCGTGAGTTTTTTCACCAACCAGTTGAGGTAAAGGAGAAGTATGCTAATTCACCAATTACTTATGAGGGTTATGGAAGTCGTTTGGGCGTGAAAAAAGGTGCCATTTTGGATTGGAGTGACTATTTCTTTCTCCATTACATGCCATGTTCTCTTAGGAACCAAGAAAAGTGGCCTTCCCTTCCAACATCTTTGAGGTACCATATCCATCCTACCTATGTAGATATGATACCCCTTTTACTCTCTCTTTTGATATGCTCTAAAAACTAGGACAGATTTGGTTGCTTAAAATTTTTTATTCTCTCTCTTTGTCTCGTTAAGTCAAAGCTTCTTTTCAGATTTTGTCTCGTTCGGTAAGATATGGATGTGTATTTACTTATTATTTTCTGCTAAGGGGGTTAACTAAAGAGATCATTTTGTTTATTAGTTAAGGTGATATAAAGGGGAGTGATGACTCTATGATATGGGATAGTTGTTAATAGACAAATTAACAATTATTTCTTTTTTACTTTTTGTTCTAATATACTATCCATAACCGTTAATTTATTTATGGACTGCTCCTTATCACTAGAAGGTCATGATTCGGGTACGGGAAATAATATTCTTATTATAAAAATGTAAGAATAAGATTGCATACAATTGATTTTTATCCTTATTCTCACAAATCGAGAAACGTTATCCGGTGAGATTTACCCTTTATCTCATATCACATAAAAGGATCTATTTTCTTTTCTTTGTAAGGGGTTGAACGAGGGCTTTAGGCACAAAAGTGAAATTTTGAGATGCTTGGATTGGACCCATCAAGTTGGAGGGTGCCTCAAAAAGCCGTGTTGAACATGAAGATGATCTTCAATTTTTTAGTATAGATTTGCTCATATAAAGAGTAAAGGGTTATGAGTTTCAGCCATGCGATAACCCACCAGTGGGGTAGTGCCATTTCATGTGGTTGGGTAATCAACACTTCTTTGAAGGATAAACAAGAAGTAGCAACGTAAACCCATATTTAAAACGTGACGGTATCTTTTGTCAAAGCCAGATGTCAACATAATATTAAAAAATTATTAAAATAATGGAGGAGAAAAGTGAATTCAGATAATAGGCCATGTGGAAATAAAATACTAGTAAATGGATGATGGCATAGTAGGAGCATATTTGTGTGCTACCGGCCCAAAATTTTTTTTGATAGGACGGAAGGGAGAGAAAAAGAGAAAAAATTGAGGAGATAGAAGAGAGGAGAGAGAAAAAAAAAATTAATAAATTTAATTCAGGTGTCAATTTTTTAGTGAAAAGATCACGATACTCCTAAATCATATTAAACAAATTCCTCATATTAGATTATAATCTTTCCATCAATTCACCTAATCTTAACGCACTTTCTGCATATTTATATTTTAGCCAAAGCTCATTCAAACCTTATTGCCTCATAAGTATGATCATTAGGAAATATTTCATATCTGAGTTGTTTCAGGTCTTCGTGGTGATAAATGTATGGAGGACTTTTGCTTGTGTGTCGTTTCTTCGTGTAATTTTATCTTTGGAGGGCACAACCTTATCACTATCTAAAATGCATAATGTGTACAAACAGTGTCCACATAAAGAATGTAAATAATACATGCATGAACTTGACTATGGTCAAAAGCATATCGGGTGTAAAACAACTATTTTTATATTTCTCTAATACACCTCTCACACAAGAGCTTGGTCACAAAGACTTTAATATCATATAAAACAATTGATTCAATCCAATAGCTTAAGTTATTAAGTGATTGATTTTTCATAATTTTATGTTATATCTTTCTAAAATAAGGTTCTACTCTCCTTTTTCTTTCTTACTTTTTTTTTTTTTTTCGTTTTGCCCCAAGTTTAAAACAATGAAAACCTTATTACCTAAGTTTCTTTTGTGATAATAGGGATGTGATTGCTGAATATGGTGAGCAAGTTGTTAAACTAGGAGGAAGGGTACTTCAATTATTGTCAATAAATCTTGGCCTAAGAGAGGATTTCCTTCTAAATGAATTTGGTGGAGAAAATGATGTTGGTGCTTGCTTAAGGGTGAATTTCTATCCAAAGTGCCCTCAACCTGATCTCACTCTTGGCCTCTCCTCTCATTCAGACCCTGGTGGCATGACCATTCTTCTCCCTGATGATTATGTTTCTGGACTTCAAGTACGCAGGGGAGAAGATTGGATCACTGTTAAGCCTGTCCCAAATGCTTTCATTATCAACATTGGAGACCAAATTCAGGTCTATATCTAGAATATTCAATCATTTTAATTAGTCAAGTTTTTATATCATGATTTCTTATTTACTTATTTTTTAATGATTTTGTACATAGTCTTTTTTTCTAAAAAAAATACAAAATAAAGAGGGCGAGGTTGGAGTAGAAAAGCTACTCTTTTGCAACTAAAAGATCATATGATCAAATTCGAAAAATAACCTCTTTATGTATATACAGGAATGAGGATTGTCCTCACCCTATCCTTGTTAGTTAGAGTTTAATACAGAGTAAAATCTTGTACATAGTCTTTTTTTTAATGAGGCACAAAATTCAACAATTAATGATTGTTAATTATGCTACTCAATATCTGATGTGAAGTGCCTTGTTTATCTTTTTAGGTGCTGAGTAATGCAATATACAAGAGTATAGAACACAGGGTGATTGTGAATTCAAACAAAGATCGAGTTTCATTGGCTTTCTTTTATAACCCCAGGAGTGATTTACTTATTAAACCTGCTAAGGAGCTTGTGACTAAGGATAGACCAGCACTCTACCCACCAATGACATTTGATGAATACAGACTTTATATTAGGACAAAAGGACCCAGTGGAAAAGCTCAAGTTGAATCTTTGACTCCCCAAACGTGATTAATTCCACTTGTGTCATTTGCAATGGACACTTGATCACTCTTCATGAAATATATTTACAATTATTGGAATGTTAATTAAAGCTCTTCATCTTTTTTCTCTTTTTTTTGGTGCAATAGTTGAAGTTTAGAAAAAAGAAAAAAAAGAAGCTTGACTCACATGTCAGACTTCCCCTTTTATGTATTTTCTTATCTCAAAATGAGTTATTGCCTCAGTCAATTCAAGAAAGAAAATGAATAATGGGGAGTGGTAGGGTTGTAACTTTCTATCTAGTTGCCCTAGTGGGATGCTAACTAAAGCTCACCGCAGCTTATGCTTAAGGAAAAAAGATATAACCATGTGCCATGAATTTCATGAGCTATTAATATGACACCACTTTTATCTTATTCGCCTTTACTTGTTGCAACCAACTTGTATAGTTGTTGTCTCGTGTCATATGTGGAAACAATGAGTACTAGTACTGTGCAATTTCCTTTTCTTTTCTTTTCTTTCATCCAACTTTTTTTAATATGGGAGTTAGTGCTTGACCCGTGTGCACCATTGTCCCCAAGGTTGCTATTCTCCATTAATGGGTTCTGTTTGCATGCCTTTCTTTCTTTTTCTTTTTCTTTTTATAAATCTCATGTATCCTTCGTTTAAAGCAATTTTTTTTCGAATTGAGAATATGATAGGACTAACCTTTTTTTAAAAAAAAATGTTATATTCATAAAAATATGGACTCAAGACTTTACTTAGTCGAAATCGATCAAACATGTATCACTTGAATTAATCATCTTTAGTTGTTTGCATGCCTTTCTAACAATCGAAGTACCAAATAGAGTGACTGAAATATTACAAAGCAATCCGAGGATAGGCCAAGTGATAATATGAATCCCGAGACGAACAAATTATAAAAAGGATAGGGATTCACATTTTAGAGAGATAATTACCATGTGAGGGTTAGATAATTATCATATCTATACAGCCCTTTTCTATCTCAGACGAATATTAGACCGTAAAAAATCGTGACTTTTCTAATAATACCTGCTGGAGTCATGAAAATACCAAAAAACTTGACTTACCCAAAAAAATAATAATTATAGAATAATTATCTTTTTCGGTCCTCAGCAAATTTTACGATGCTCGTTTTAGTCCCTAGCAAATAAAAAAATTATTCGTGGTCTCTGAGAAATTCAAAGTGGATCTATGTTAGTCCTTTTAAGGGACTAACATGTGTCTTATTTGAATTTGTGAAGGACCACGATTTTAACTAAATGAATCCATTTTAAATTTCTTAGGATCACGAATAACTTTTTTATTTGCTAGAGATTAAAGTGGACATTGTAAAATTTACTAAGTACCAAAAATAATATTTATTCAAAATTATATTACAAGTGCTTCCCTCACCCACTATCATTAGTCTTGTGGGGAATAAAAACGTGGCCGAAGACTTCATTGATATTTTATTTCCCTATTCAAGCCACCATAGCTTGATAAAACGCACGTTTTTAATGCATCTTGTCAAATATTATTTTATGTAACTAAACAATTTCAATTCAATCACGTCACCAATTGATAAATGCATGACAGGACAATCAATTGTCATTTCAGGGAAAGACCTTACACATTACGCGTTTATGGGGTGTAACTATCAACTTGTAGGAAAAATTTAATAAGCTTGATGCCCACCATTTATTCAATAGTTTCTTTTTATAAATAGATTTTTTTTTATTTCTACCTTTTTTTTAATTTTTTTTTCCTCCGTTCCTTTTTTTTTTTTGTCATTTTGAGAAGCGATCACCATGATCCCGGCTCATAAAAAATCTTCTCCACCTTGTAATTGAGACAGCCATACAATTCAATGGATGAAAGTAAAAATCATGTTTTATTTCATTTTTTCTAAAAGGAAAAAAAAAACCTATATTAAGAAGGCCACACCAAAGAAATTTTGGGATTTGAAACTTCAAAGCGTTCGATCTTATGATAACTTTTACAAATTTATCGACTCCTTCTGTCAATAAACAAATAGTACATTTTTTTAACCAAAAGTAAGCGTTAATCACGGTTTATTTTATTAATTAGGTCTCAAACATAAATATCATCAATCAAATGGACTTTATGATATTCCGGTAAAGTGAAGAACTTGTAGCGTCACATGTTGATTAGTTTATTTTTACAGTCTTATTGTAAAGAGGCTACTTTTGCTTATACAGAGTTTTGTAAAGATATTTGTTTCTCAATTTTTTGGCATAATTATTATTTAAACAAGTATGTGTATAACTACTCACAAATCACACATACGTACTTATTTACTAATAAACCTATCTTTGGAGTTATACGTTTAATTAGTTACAAAATTGTTTCAGTAAACCGATTGAATTAGAAAGACAGAAATCATAATATGATTAAATAAATCTATATTCGTATGTGGATATTTTTCAACAAAAACAAATGGAATTTTATTCGATGGGAACAACCTTTATGTTTAATATATTAACAAAAAGTTTTTAAAATACTCATGATTCAAATAAATGATTTAACTAGATGTTAATAGTATCAAACTATTAATAGGAGGATACTAAAGGGAGAAATTATTCTCATGCTACATGAGATAAGTTTTTCCTCCTACACATTCTTCGATAATTGTGTCATCTTTTTTTTTTCAGGTGGTGGAGTCCACGAGTTTATTTCTATGACATGAAATAACTTATCTCTTTTAACATTAAGAGATTAATAAAACACATACTTAAATTACATAAACAGAGTAATATATATAAGAAAATTGTCAGGCGGGTCCAGGAGAAGCCCGTGGCGAGTGGCCACCACCAATGAGCTAAGTTACTCCAAGTACACCAAGTGGATCCGACACCATGTCTCAACCCAAAACCTTAAGGCATTGGGTTCATGGGTCCTTCCACTTTTATACTCTTCACTTAGCTCATTACCAACCAATGTGAGACTCATCACACTTGAATATTCCAACAATCTCCCCCTCAAGTGTGAAACCCACCATTGGTATGCTTCCCCTCAACCGAGTACCCGAAGCGCAAAGTACTCGATCCGCCTCCTAGCCAATCACATGGCTAGCTCGAGCATAACCCGGCTCTGATACCACTGTCAGGCGGGTCCAGGGGAAAGCCCGTGGCGGGGAGCCACCACCAATGAGCTAAGCTAAACCAGCCATATCAAGTGAGTTCGACACCACATCTCATCCCAAAACCTTAAGGCATTGGGTTCATGGGTCCTTCCACTTATATAATCTTCACTTAGCCCACTACCAACCAATGTGGGACTCATCACAGATGAATATCCCAACAATCTCCCCTTCAAGTGTGAAACCCACCATTGGTATGCCCACCCTTAACCAAGTACCCCAAGCGCAAAGTACTGACCTGCCTCCTAACCAATCACCAGGCTAGCTCGAGCCCAACCCGGCTCTGATACCACTGTCAGGCGGATCCAGGGGAAGCCCGTGACGGGGGGTCACCACCAATGAGCTAAGTTACTCCAAGTACACCAAGTAGATCCGACACCATGTCTCAACCCAAAACCTTAAGGCATTGCGTTCATGGGTCTCTTCCACTTATATACTCTTCACTTAGCTCATTACCAACCAATGTTGGACTCATCACACTTGAATATCCCAACAATCTCCCCCTCAAGTGTGAAACCCACTATTGGTATGCTCCGCCTCAACCGAGTACCCGAAGCGCAAAGTACTCGACTCGCCTCCTAGCCAATTACCAGGCTAGCTCGAGTCCAACTCGGCTCTGATACTAATGTCAGGCGGGTCCAGGGGAAGCCTGTGGCCTACAAAAATTAGTTAATGATAATCTATTAAAACGCAAGTTGTGTAATACTAAAAATTTCTTATTTTCCAGATACATTATTAATATTATAAGTCAGTTATAAAAATGTTTTTAAACAGACTGAAAAGTGTTAAACATCAATAGTATTGATAAATCTGGATCGGACGGTCAGGTTGATCCGGTAACCAATAAACCGGTATGGGTTGAGTAGTGGATCCGCTAAGCATTATAACAGGTGCGAGCTGGTGCAACTCGATTTTGGTAAAAGTTGTTGACCCAGTCGGTTCAACTGTTGACTCGACCCAGTTATAAAAGAAAATAAAATAAAAAAACATAAAGGATATAATTTTTTAAAAATTCACATTCTCTTGAAATATTTGAGTGATTTATTGTTTATTGACTTACATAGGTTATATACCTATAACACTAATAGAATCTTGGTTATGCACTGTGTAGGATATTTTGATTTAATTTATAACTAGAGATGTCGTCTACTAAACATGAAGCATCAGTACCACAAGCATTATATGTTTGTTTGATCCATAATAATGTGTGATTGATTATTATTCATATTAAAATATTTGAAATTGATATTATTTTTTTACATGTATTTGAGTATGTTTATAACTTTTTTAATATAAATTATACTTATCGGGTCATATAGTTGAACCAGTGATTTACTAGTTAAATCAGTGACTCAGTATCTCGACCGAGTTAGATTTAATAATATTAATGAGATAAAAAAAACGTGTCTTCTGGTCGAGTGCAATTATTTGAGAACCTGAATTATGTAAGAAAATAATTAAAGGAATAATTTTTTAGTTTTACTAATTAATAAAAGGGATTTGCATTCATCATGCAACATGACAACAAAAAGTTTTCTACACACACAATATTTTGTGAGGCTCGCGTTTTTTAAAGCAAAAAAAAAACTATGACACGAAAAACAAATCTCTATAATATAACACAATCACTTTTCCTACAACATAATTTTTATATAACCCTTAATAAAATTACGAAAAAGACAAAATATCCAACTTTATATATGAAAGTAATATAAAATATGAAGAGAAAAAAACGCATGATATATATGCCTTAATTTTTTTTCAATTGACTAATATTATTAAAATAGTTTATTAAATTTTGGGTCCTTAATTTAACTGACAAGTTTTAAAATTAAGAACTTTAATAAGTTATCAGAATAAAATTACGGCCATTTACAATCTGAAGTGGCATTACCATTAAAATTAGCGATATGGGAACATTGAATGTACTGTTCTCTTTCTTAGCATAATATATCTTAATGTCATAGAGTGCAAATTTTTTTTCAAACTGCGATGATATCATAGTTGCTGAGGTACTTATCTATTATGGACGGAACACGTGTCACACTCCCAATGGCTAAAAAGCTTTGGAGGCTTGTTGCATCATAATCGTTGAGGTACTCAGCTACTTTTCCAACCACTGGAAATGTGGCACGTGTCCCATCCATAGTAGCTAAGTACCTCAGGGACTATGATACTTTGGT